AGAGCCAGAGAAGAGGAAACTGCTACAGCCCACAGGGTGTCTGGAAGGGCTTCCCGAGGGATGCTTCAGAGGCAGCTCGGAGCCTCAGGCAGGAATCCAGGAGGAGCAGGAAGAAGGGAGGATGAGTCGGGCCTACCTGGATTGGTTTGGGTGGAGTCCTTCCTGAGACAGGGCAGGGTGGGGGGTTATGTAGATCTTTTTGAAGCCCCCCCCCCACCTCCACAGTGTCTGTGTCCCCTTAAATGAGTATTATAATCTTCCTTGCCTCCCATGAACAAAGGAGGAAACTGAGGCTCTGCCAGGACTAGAGCCCAGGTGTCCCAGATGGACCCCCCAGCCAGGGATCCTCACCAAACCAGGCTGGTCTAACTGTCTGTCCGGAGCTCTCTGAGTTGGCTTGAGGAGGAGAAGACCTGTTCCCTGCCCTCTTGATACTCCCTCCTGGTTGGAAAGCTGGGTGTTGAATTTTATGTAAGATTATTTAAGCAAGAGTATTCCAGAAAGCCTGATGCTGGAGATTCAGATACTGGCACCAAGCCTGTGAGCATCACACTGGAGCTGGAGCATGAGTCCATCTTCTGCTCCTGTCTCTAGACCTAGGCTGGGCTCTTCAGGAGCTGGGTCTGGAAGCAGATCAGAAAGCAGGGTCCACCCCAGCCCAGGGCCTGGACCTGTGGGTGCGTCCAAGCTAAACCTCCACACAAGGGTCCATTGTGGTTGCTCAGCCTGGCTCTGGATTCTGCCAGCCCTTCCGGCTCCCGGAAAACGTTTCCTGTCTGGCGGCTCCCAGAGCAGCCTGTCCTTGGCCAAGATACTGACTGGCCCCACACACAGGCCTCTCCTACCCAGTGAGGAACTTGGAGTCCTGGCAGCTCAGAGCTCTTGGGTCCAGCCCTCATTTAACAGTCAGAGTCCCTTAGGCACAAGGGAGTAGGCACAGGCACACAAGAACCAGAATCAGGACCAGAACCCGGCACTCGGGCCATTGTCTCAGCTCTTGCTACCAACATGAGGCAGTAGGATTTAGACTTGGAGAAGTGAAGGGGCTGTACCATTACACAGTCCTTTGTGGCAGAGTCTGGAGGAAATGACTGATGCTTAGCTGGCCGCTTGCGCCCCTAGACCCCTCAGATCTGGGCTCTTTTGGTTCAGCTGTGCAGCCTCGTTGAAGGTCGCTATTCCTCTCTGCATTTGGGGACTGAAGGCTTTCCACTGCCAATTCATTCCTGACATCCTAAGCTTTTAAATCAGGAATGAGCGCATTGGTTGGGGTGAGGAGAAGCAGTTCTGGAATTTGGGGCTTTGACAACTCCGCCCCATCTCTGTGTGCCAGGCTGTACCAGAGCCAGAGGCTCGGGGCCTGGGGTTCCCAACCCTTACTTGGGCTGACAGCGCCATCTGGTGCCCAGTTGATGTGACATGAGTCCCACTAGAGATGCCACCACAAACCTTCACTCGCTGTGGGACCTCTGAGCCGCCCTATGCCATTGGCTGGGGATATAGAAGTGACTGTGACCCCAGATGTGAGGGGAGAAGACATCAAAAAGTGACCATTTAGGATGAGGAGGCTGTGACAGCAGAAAGTCTGGGGCAGAGGGGAGTCCCTGAGTACCACAGGGCCAAGAAAGAGAGGCATTGTCATCAATATGACTCTCATTGTCTCCTGGGCCAGGTCCTGTGCAGATCTGGGGACCCTCAAGGAATCAGTTATGATCTAATAGAAAAAAGTAGGGTGGGGGAGGGAGCTCAGACCCAGGGACTTGGAGCTGGGTCTCAAAGAATGTTAGTAATTCATCTTGTGAGCAGTGGACATTCCAGGCTCAGGAAACAGCCTGTGCAAAGGCGTGGAAGAGGCAGTTTGTGTGTATAAGCTTGAAGTTGACAGATGTGGAGAGGAGGGGGACAGCAGAGGAAGTGCCAGAATATGAGGTCTGAAATGTCACAACCCTGGGTACCTGTGGCCAACAGACCTAGTCTGAATTTCCCTGCCCCACACCTACCTCCTTTCTTGACCTTCAATGTCTGGGCAGGTACAGAGCTCCTACCTCAAACTCCAACCCCATTCCCTTTGGGTCTGGTTACCTAGTGGAGTTCCTGATTCCTGAAAGCCTCCTCTCTTCCCCCGGGGAAGCGGCTAGGTCAGGCTCCCCACAGGCTGATCTGAGGGGATAAAAACATATGACTTCCCTGGACTCCAAGAAGCCCAGGCCCACCTCTTAGATTGCAGAAGGATCTTTAAGTAGTTATTTAACTCTAGATTCAGGTTCCTCAGCTGATGGGGATAATAATGGTACCTGCCTCATGGGATGTGGTCAGGATTAAATGAGAAAATACATAGAAAACCACTCATTTGCACCTTGCTGGCAAGGGTTGATGTCAGGAAAAGGGGCTCCTCCCCCTTGCCAATCCCCGTGGGCATATTCCTTCCAGGGGGAAGCTCGAGGGGTCCAGATCTTGGTCCCACGTGGGATGCCCAACCCCCAGGCTTCAGGCTTCCTTCTACCTTCCCTGAACCCAGAGAAGCTCTGTTGTGTATCCAGCAAATGATTGATTGTTCATGTTTTCTTCTGATTTTTCTTTCTTTTTTGAGACAGGGTCTCGCTTTGTCACCCAGACTGGAGTGCATTGGTGCAATCTCAGCTCACCACAACCTCCACTTCCCAGGCTCAAGTGATTCTCCTGCCTCAGCCTCCTGAGTAGCTAATTTTTGTATTTTTAGTAGAGACAGGGTTTCACCATGTTGGCAAGGCTGGTCTCGAACTCCTGACCTCAAATGATCCACCTCGGCCTCCCAAAGTGCTGGGATTACAGGTGTGAGCCACCACGCCTGGTCTCCCTGTGATTTTTTTTTAAAAGAAAATGTTCAAATACAAAGGAAAAGAGTGTTTAACAAGTAAATGAGCACCCATATGCTCTTCTAGACTCAACAATTAATGTTTTGCCTTATTTGCTTAATTGTTGTGTCATTTTTTTTTTTTTCTTTGAGACGGAGTTTCCCTCTTTGTTACCCAGGCTGGAGTGCAATGGCGCGATCTCGGCTCACCACAACCTCTGCCTCCTGGGTTCAAGCAGTTCTCCTGCCTCAGCCTCCTGAGTAGCTGGGACTACAGGTATGCGCCACCATGCCCAGCTAATTTTTGTATTTTTAGTAGAGACTGGGTTTCACCATGTTGACCAGGATGGTCTTGATCTCTTGACCTCATGATCCACTCGTCTCGGCCTCCCAAAGTGCTGGGATTATAGGCGTGAGCCACCGCGCCTGGCCCGCTGTGTCATTTTTAAAAATTTGAACTAGAGGGCCGGGCACGGTGGCTCAAGCCTGTAATCCCAGCACTTTGGGAGGCCGAGGTGGGTGGATCACGAGGTCAAGAGATCGAGACCATCCTGGTCAACATGGTGAAACCCCGTCTCTACTAAAAATACAAAAAATTAGCTGGGCATGGTGGCACGTGCCTGTAATCCCAGCTACTCAGGAGGCTGAGGCAGGAGAATTGCCTGAACCCAGGAGGCGGAGGTTGCGGTGAGCCGAGATCGCGCCATTGCACTCCAGCCTGGGTAACATGAGCAAAACTCCGTCTCAAAAAAAAAAAAAAAAAAAGAAAATTTGAACTAGAGGCTGGGCGTGGTGGCTCACGCCTATAATCCCAGCACTTTGGGAGGCCGAGGCAGGCAGATCACCTGACGTCAGGAGTTTGAGACCAGCCTGGCCAACATGGTGAAACCCTGTCTCCATTAAATAAATAAATAAATAAAATTTGAACTAGGGCCGGGTGCAGTGGCTCATGCCTATAATCCCAGGCAGGCTGAGGCAGGCAGATTGCTTGAGCCCAGGTGTTCAAGACCAGCCTAGGCAACGTGGCAAAACCCAGTCTCTAATAAAAATACAAAAATTATCTGGGCATGGTGGTCCCAGCTATTCAGGAGGCCAAGGCGGGAGGATCGCCTGAGCCTGGGAGTTCAAGGCTGCAGTGAGCCAAGATCACACCACTGTACTCCAGCTGGGGTGACAGAGTGAGATCCTGTCTCAACAAAGAAAAAAAGTAAAAAATAAAAGCCAAAACTAAACAACACAAAAAACCTAAAGCTAACACTGTACTTTTAATAGCGAGTGAATGCTTTTCTCATTTGTTTTATTTATTTATTTATTTATTTATTTTTATTTAATTTTTTGAGACAGGGTTCTGCTTTGTCAGGCTGGAGTGCAGTGGCACAGTCACTACTCATTGCAGCTTTGACCTCCTGGGCTCAAGTGATCCTTCTGCCTCAGCCTCCTGAGTAGTTGGGACTATAGGCACATGCCACCATGCCCAGCTAATTTATTTTTTGTAGAGATGGGGTTTCATTATATTGCTTAGGCTGGTCTTGAACTCATAGCCTCAGGTGATCCACCTGCCTTGACCTCCCTAAGTGCTGGGATTACAAATGTGAGCCAGCCACAGCCCCCAGACTTTAACCATGCTTTATATATTTTAGATACAAATTCTTTATCCGATATATGATTTACAAATCCCCCATTCTTGTTGTCGATTGTGCTTTTGTTGTTCTAAGAATACATTGCCACGCCAGGTGCAGTAGCTTATGCCTATATGTAATCCCAGCACTTTGGGAGGCTAAGGTGAGTGGATAACTTGAGGTCAGGAGTTTGAAACTAGCCTGGCCAACATGGTGAAACCCTGTCTCTGATAAAAATACAAAAATTAGCTGGGTGTGGTGGCGCATACCTGTAATCCCAGCTACTTGGGAGGCTGAGACACGAGAATCGCTTGAACCTGGGAGGTGAAGGTTGCAGTAAACTGAGATCGAACTACTGCACTCCAGCCTGGGTGACAGAGCAAGACTCTGTCTCAAAGAAAACAATAGTTATAATAACATACATTGCCAAATCCAAGGGCATGAAGACTCACCCCTATGTTTTCTTCTAAGAGGTTTATAGTTTTAGCTTTTACATTTAGGTCTTTGATCCATTTTGAGTTAATTTTTGCATATTTACTCTTTTGCAGGTGGCTAACAGATTTTTCCAGCAACAGAGCTGAGAGGATTAGAATCTGGGAGAAGAAAGAGCTCTGCATTCTTGGCTTCACCTGTCTGGAGTGGAGCTGACATCATGCTGAGCTGGAGGTGCAGGGGGCCAGGGAAGGAGTGAGTTCTAGCTCAGATGTCCCAGACTCTTACTATTCTTACTGAAATTAAGTAGATTTTCTTGAATAAATGTTCCTTCATCTGCTGTAGACCCTTAGGAAAATTCCCAGGAACATACATCTATCTTGATATTAATGTAGATATAAATAGATAATTATGTATGTATAATTTTTTAGCAGTTTTACTTGTTCTGCTGGGGAGAAGGTCTGGAAGGTTTGCAGAGCTGCTCATGCCACCATTCCAGAAGTTATCCACCAGTTCATTGCTTTTTGCTGAGTAGTATTCCGTTGTATGTCTATGCCACAGTTTGTTTATACATTCACCTGTTGATGGACATTTGGGTTGTTTCCTGTTTAAGGCTATTACAAATAAAGCTGCCTTGAACATTTCTGTATAAGTCTTTGGACATATGCTTTTATTTATCTTGAGTAAATAGCTAGAAGTGGAGTGGCTGGGTTATATGGCAGTTTGTGTTTTACTTTTTAAGAAGTGGTTCCCCTATTATGCATTCCCACCAGCAATGTGTGAGAGTTCTGGTTGCTCCATATTCTCACCAACACTTGGTATGGTCAGGCTTTTTAATATTAGCCATTCTAATAGATGTATCTCATTGTGGTTTTTTTTTTTTTTTGAGACGGAGTTTCGCTCTCGTTACCCAGGCTGGAGTGCAATGGCACAATCTCGGCTCACCGCAATCTCTGCCTCCTGGGTTCAGGCAATTCTCCTGCCTCAGCCTCCTGAGTAGCTGGGATTACAGGCACGTGCCACCATGC